CCACACACACACAGTGTCAGTGACGTCAGTGACACTCAACTGACAGTGACACTGACACACAGGATACAGGGGCGACAAGGTCTTCTTTATTACAGTAGAATCCTGTTATAATGAGAGGTAGGGGACCAGTGCGAAATGTCCGTTATAGCAGGATTCTCGTTACAAGGGATCCAGTAATACATTCAAGGGAAATAGTAAAATAGGCCTAATCTATGAGTTTGGCGTTCTGTTTATTCCTTTTTGTATTTCCCCTGATGATGATTAATTCAACATGATCTCTACATCTAGGTCTTACTTGATCAAAAATCGAATTAGGTTTCTTTCTCTAGCACTAGCAATGTTGACAGCTCGGCGTTGGCGATCAGCAGGAAAGGGCCCTGGCTCTAGGCTAACTCGCCCGCTGTGTTGTCCCCCACCCCACCACACCCTGTGGTGCGTTGCGTCTGCTAGTGCACGTCACACATTCACTCCATCTATCACAAATCACAGCATTGTGACCTCTCTGTCCCGCACCAGAGAAGTGAGAGGCACGGTATGCCTAGATAATCTAGACTGCGCTGGCCTATCAACTATCACGCGATGCGTTCTGCTCGTCTGCGCATGCCACACCCTCCACACTCATTCACTCCGGCCTTCATTGTTGGTTCGCGTGGGCTCTCCCATTCTTTGTTTCTCTGGATCACCAACAACTTTCTCAACTGGCAAGGTTTTATAATATATCTGAACTGTAATTGGTCTGCGCGCTGTGCACAGCAGCAGCTAGATCTATATTCCGTTAAAACCGACTCGCGTGACTCTCTGATTGCGCAATAGCAGTATTTTATTTACAAAGATAAAGAAGGAGAAAAAACGGGGTTTTAGAATACTGTCTTTATAACAGACTTCTCGTTGTTTCAGGAATCGTTATAAGTGGACTCCACTCCACTGTATCATCATTTCATTAGACTTAGACTAGACGTCTTAGAACTAGGAATTGCTTTTTTTACAATTCCACTTTTCAAGTCATACTTTCTTTTTACTTTACACATTTAATTGTAGTGATGTCAAGGCCGGAATGCCCAAAGTGTGTAACCCTTCGGGTTTTTTTAAAAAGCAACATTCAACATGTCACCAAAAAGAAAATTTAGGAAAGAAAATAGGGGAAGACTTCCGTAACGAGCGACCACTATAAGACAGATTAGAATTGGGCCACCTCTATTCTCACCCGGGATGAGAATAGTGCAGGCGAGTCTTTTGGCTATTCTCATCCGGTGCGCGTTCACCGTTAACTTATATCCTAGATCTATGCCAACAAATTTTGCGTTCACCCTAAACCACAGAATTCTACACTGTGATAACAGAAAAATTGTAGAATTCTGTGCTGTGAACAAACGTTCCATTACAACTGTACTTGTAGCCTACTAAAAGCGTACAATTTTGTCTGTGGGCAGTGGAGAGAGAGAGTGAGAGAGAGAAAGAGAGAGAACAAAACAAAATGGCGACCCGCGTAGTTCGGCTCGATTCGAAAAGTTAAATAGCCATAGCATCTTTGTAGACAACCAAATTAATTTACTTTTGTGTTTTAACATCATTTTTTAACTTTGTTTTGGTCAATTTGATCGTCCTCACCGATAGACAGTATTCAGAAAGAGACAGAGAGAGAGAGAGACTGAGAGAAGAGGGGAGGAGTAGATCTTGCTAGAACTTCCGGGCGGGTGAGAATAGCCACTTTCTTAGAATTGAGGGCTAGGAGTAGGGGTAGATCTAGGGGTAGGGTTAGGGTTAGGGTTTGGGTTTGGGTTAGGGTTAGGCCTCTTCTTTATTGTGTTTGAAGTGAAGGGGTTGGTCGTTCGTTACGGGTCCTTCCGAAAATAGAAAATGTCAAAACGTGTGAAGGCGGGACACTCACAATCACGAAATTATTTTTTCAAACTTACGCCAGTATAATAGAGCACCTTATTGTTAGACGTTTAAACGTCTATGCAAAGTTCTCATCTATGACTAAAATGCAATAAAATGCATGTTCGAGAGAAAAGCTGGTATTTTTTCGTGTGACACTGTCCGCCACAACCGACAGCACTTTGTTATTGTTTACATTCAGCGGCCATTTTTTCAACGGGCCCGCCCTGCGTTTGTCAACTAAATAACGATTGGTTGGACTTCGTGGCCGATTAAAACCGAAAAATAGAATTCCGTACAAAATTGATTTCGACAGGTTCAAAAGTGTGCTATAACCGAATATAAAATAAATTATAGCCTCTCATCCTTGTTTTCCTCACGTTATAAACATCTGAGAAGATCATCATCATAATAATCTCCACCATCATCATCAGAACCACCAGCAGCAGAATTGTTTTACATTAACAGCAGAAAAAAAATACCGCTATGTATTCTCGCCCTACTGTTGTTTATATTTCATCAGATGTTCCAAATCATCCCTGTCACATGCCATCATTGTAGAAGAATTAAAAAAAAGAAAGAAGAAAAGACTTAAACGAAAGTTTCAACAAATGTATGATGAATAAGAAAAGACTTTTACCATCATCATCATCATCATCATCATCATCATCATCATCATCATCATCATCATCACCATCAAATCTTATCGATCCAGCAACAGCTGGGCTTTCACCCTTAACTGTCCAATGCCATGTATAGTCTAGGTCTAGAGGTTTGCTGCAGTTGCTGTAATGTTTCATAGGGTGTTGCCAATGTTTAGGTCTTGAGTCGAAAGGGCATCATCATTGTTTAAAAAGCAGAGTAGGAGGGAGAGTACGTCTTGCTTGATTTACAGACACAAATATAAATTATATAAAACATTTAAAATTAGTTTTGATTGAATCGGCTCGACGTTTCGCCATATTATGTAGGCTTCCTTAGGAGCATCATCATCTGATATGAGAATATCTAACCGCACTGATGTCAGTACATAAAATTCTGATATAATAATGCCGCAGGCACGCTATATCTATTGCTGTACCTGTGCAGTGAAATGGCTGAATTAAAGCAGAGTGGATATCAATGCAAAACCTATCGATTTATTGAAACACAGCAATTTAAGAAACCTTGAAATTAGAGAAGGCTAGAGGCAGAAATGTATTGTTTATTGACTTTAAATTTCATTTTGAGGGGAGGGCGACGAGGATTCGAGAAGAGGGATCGATGAAAATAATTTCATTGAAAGCTTTTGGCGTCACTGAATCCCAATATATATACATATATATATATATATATATATATATATATATATATATATATATATATATATATATATATATATAAACATTTATGATTCTAAAGCAATAAAATAAAAGGAGCACAAAACGGGTAAAGGTGTAATGGGAGGTGCACCATATAGGCTATCCTACATGCTCCTGCGAAGCCAACCTAGCCTACACGATTGTTTTTCGTTAAAATACATGTATATATGTCTAAAACATTTCCTCATTGTTATATTAATTATTATTTTTTTCTTCCCCCTTTTGAATTCGCTTGTGTTCAAGCGCATGCGTGTATGTGTTTCCTTCCTTCCGACAAACGTTCATCTCATTTCTCTCTTGATCTAGATCTGTCTCTCCGATAATTTTATAAATTAAAAATTGATCGAGCAATGACTTGGCTCGAACTCATTGGTGCGCCCTGAGAACAGCGTCAAGTCGTCACCCATCACCGGAACTTATTGCTGATCGTTGAACTCATGAATATTCAATATCAATAGTGGACGCAACATGGCGTCGACCATAACATTGGTCGTTCTTGTCAGTCTTGTACTACAGAAATGTACAATAACTAACGGATCGACTCATTGGATTGTAACCGAAGACGGTAGAATACAAGCCCAAGTAAGTTTCTTTGCTCTGAAGATATGTGTGTTGCGCTTCTGCCTTTCGTTCATATTTTCAGCGTTGCTATGTTCGTAGTATTTGTGCTTGACACAGGTTTTTTCCTCAACTCTCAACTCCCCACTAAAACTCAATCCCAGTCATGATAGTGATGGCTAGATCTGGAATCTAGATCTAGTCTGCTGTTTTGTTTTTGTGAATTAGATCAAGATCTAGCCCCAGCCCGATTTGTGAGTATGACTGCAGATTATTACTGTCGAAAAGGTTTTAACTGACGCTGGCGATGTAAAGTTGCTCTTAGTCTTAGCTATTCTAAGTCTAAGCCTGGGTCTTTATCGTTTTGTTTTGAGGCTGAGGGAAAGATCAGGTGTAACATGAAGCTGCAGCGAGAACCTCTAGCACACCTCTTTGATTCAGTGATTGGCCCAAACAAATGAAACATTGATACGTATTTCCGCCATCTGTTTTCTTCGTCTTCCGGGGCTTCCCTGGCCAGTTGACTAGTCTAGATCTCATCATGACGGCTGACGGGCCCCGCTTTGCCCCTTAGCGCACAATGGGTTACATCACTAGGTTTCATCTCCGACTGCTTGGGTCATGTGTGCACGCAGGCTTGTGTGCGTGTGTATGCGTGTGCATCGACCATCGTGTGTGTGTGCACGCGCTCGCTATTGTGTGTGTGTGTGTGTGTGTGCGTATTATGCGATTGTGTTTAACTTTAACTTGTGTGTGTGTGTAATACTTTGAGGAGAAGGTAAATCTATTGAACGAGAATTGCTGAGATTATAAAAGATAACATAAATTAAGATCTAATTTTAAAAAACCCAAAAAGCAAACACAGTGAGATCTAGTCACAGTTACTGGCGAGAGAAACCCGAGAATCTTGGGACCGGAAGACGACAAAAATAGATGCGGAAATATGTCAACTATATTTGGGCCAATCACAGAGGTGCAAGCTGCTTGCTGCAGCTTCATGTGAAAGATTTCACTATCTGAAAGAGTGAAAGGTGGTGACTTCGACTATTTTTTTGCGAAAGTGAAAGTAATAGTTTTATAGTTTAAATTAGCCTACTAGATTAGATCTATCTCTAGATCTAAAAATCTAGATATCTAAATCAATTTGTGAATTGGCATAGTGACGATGTTTTGATTTCAATTTAGGCTATCAGTTAGATGCTAATGCGACTAAGCGTAGAGCGACGCAAACTATAATACTATTTTTAGGTAAGGCGGCCATCTTGTGTTGCATCAGATCGGGATACCCCTCTGGTCACGTGACTACATCTAAATAGGCTGGATTGCACTTTACCCGACTACCCGTCTGGGCCCGTGATTACTATGTGCACCTAGCCTAACTTAACTACGCTCTCATAGTTCTCTACATGAGGACAAAAGAAGTTCCGCGGGCGACTGGGCACAGAGCGCAAGCCTGTGGCGAGGCGAGGTGAGCAAGAGGTGGTGGTTGAGGGTGGGGGTAGGGATATATCATTATAACAACAGTGGGGGATTTCAGGGGGGCTTGCCTGGCCCCTGGCAACAATAATAAAAAAACCGAACAGCAATTTATGAGCAGACCATGGTGCTAAGTGGACAATCGGGGTAATTTTAGACTTGGAACAGGGGTTCCAATTATGTAAACTAGCTCTTGTGCGTACTGTTCTCGCACTTAGCCAGACCATGTCGAGCCTTATTTCGCAGCACTCGCAGAGTCGCGAGCAGGGCCTAGTGGGTTGCAATATGCAAAGGAGTGCTCGTGCGCATCTCTTGCCCTCCATTGTACTTGGCTGGACTAGGAGGGGGGGGGGGGGGTAGGCCTAACAGACTTGCGAGCAAAGAAGAATAGTGGACCACGTGATAAAATTGACCGATTAGCGTCAAGGTATCAAGTTGTGGGTCAAAGGGCACGGTCGTGATGGCTGAAAAACTCGGTCAGAGACGTCAGTCAGTACTTGGCAGTTGAAGTGTGAGGACGTAGGACGGTGAATAGGGGAGCTCTGAAAGGAAGAATAGGGTACCACCAGGAACCAGGGGCGCCATAGTGAAAGTAGTTCCGACAGGCGGTTACAGGTTGTCCGGTAAAGTACAATCTTACCTCTAAATATACCCGACCGCATGGCACTAGGATTTGGTGCGATGTTTTTCCTGGAATACCGATAATATGTGATTTGATTCGGTGCTCTGAAGATGCTGCACTGCTTATCTCTTCTGCGCATTGTTTATTGGGGGGATCTTTTCTGCGACTATTGCTCGCTTAATTGTCTTTGTTGAGTTTACTGTGCTTCTATTTCAAGCATAGCGTTCTTACTGTTCTTAGCATCAATGATATAAGCGATCTTCCATCATTTCCAAGTACTGGAAGTTCGAAATGTTTTTCACATACTGGAAACCTTGAACCAATCAGAGCATGGCTGACGGGCTGTACAGTTAACCGCAAGTGTGAAATATTAACGTGCAAAACACATCGATACGGAATGTGTCAAGCCACTGACCCAACATGTTGTTCCACGCGGTATCTCCACGGCCTTTAAAAAATAGTCTGTGGGTATTCCAGGATGTGATGACATCACATTACTAGAATTAGCAGCCAATCAGGCATGTGTGTCGTTCTACATTTAGCCGCATGTGAAATGTTGGATATATATCTGAAGTGGCCTGAATATTATACATCTCACATATGATTACGACAGCCTTAAAAGGCTATCTCTTTGCGTACAGCCCTCACTTGAAACCTTTCCAGAAGAAAATTTATAACTATTTTTACAGAATCGCTCCCGTCTCATGGCTGCTATCCATACCGTTTTTTGTTCGACATATTTTGGGCCAATGGAAACGTTAAACAATATTTTAGGCTTTTTTTGTTTGTTTATAATGTTATAATGCTTCCTTTTGTAGTCATTAGGGGGTTTTCAGGAGTCCCCCCCCCCCCACCCCGGACAAGCGATTATGCAATAGCTTTTGTAGTGGGGGGGGGGGGGGAGGTGCCCATGTAGATTTATTTTCTCACGACAGTCACATACATGATGCCTGCCAAGTGCAAGATTACAGAGTGTAAAAAAGGGAAAATTATTATCCCAATTTAATAAAATTTCTAATAACCGTAGGCCTATGTAGTTAGTATAGATATATAAGGGGAGTTGTTTGGTTGTGGGGTGATCTCTTGCTTTATTCTCAAGAGTCTCTTCTCTCTTTGGATGAGATCAAAGTCTATCTATTCTTATTGAGGTAGCTGCCCTAAATTGGCAATTATTTTAGTGTTTTTTTACTTTCTATGCTCATGCACATTTCAGTGAAACATAGTGAATCATCATTATCTATTTTGATAATCATAATTGAATGTGATATTGACTGTTTGTCCTCTGAAAAATTTTTAAATAATTGTGAAAGCAGATTAAATTTAATTATGTAAACAAATACTTAAACATTTTAAGTTCTGACTACATTTCCATTTGGGAAGGAATGCTAAAATTGTTTAATGCATTCATCGTTACCCATCTCTGTTCTTCTTAAGGAGGAAAGAGGGACATTTTAACTCGCAGCTCGCTTTGAATCCTCCACCACTTGACATGAAGCACAAAAGCTCCTGGGGGTGTGAAAGATCCATAATTAAGATAATTTATCAAGTACTTGGATTTGAAGATCCATAATTAAGATAATTTGTTAACTCTTTGGCTTTGAAGAATGTTCAGAATGTATTGATGTAAATTCTGTCTCAGTCTTTTATCAACAATACTGTGTTGGTTCAGTATGTGAAATGTCAAAGGATAAATGTTTTCTGAACGGAAAGAGTTAACAGGTAGGGGAGCGGGTTAGCGGGGACAGTTTCTTTTTCTCGTTTTGCTCAGACCTCAGGGCCCTATAATGGGACCATTTTGTCATCACATAGATTGTGATCTGGAGATTCGAATTAGAGATGACGCAGACAAGATCTTTATCTTTAACATAACATATTTGACGGAATATTTGCACTGACGTTATTAGATACTAATTGTAAGTATAATGTTAGATCTACTGTAAAACAGATAATTTGCATCTGGTTTTACACTTCAAATCGTCAGGATTGATTTTTGTTTCTCTGCAGAAATAAAGTATTTTACTAGGGTTAGGATAGTAAACATGTCTATTTTTATGTGTTTAGAAAATCAAAGTGAGTGATAGTGATCAGGTAGCTGAATTTTGTGATCACTGAAAATAAGCAAGTTTTACCCTTTTAGCTTACATGTTGCCCACATATCTTAAACCTTGAGTTTATGGCTTATACTAGATTGCATTTTCATTTTGATACCACCATTACAGTCTCGACCAGACGACAACAGAACAGTCTTGCTGTCATTACAACTGTGGAGTATCCATGAAATAAAAATGAAAGAATATAATATTATATATATATATATATATATATATATATATACTTACTACATTACTGATCACTCAGGGAAATTTGTTTTACAGTGACATACATTATAAATGCACAAGTACATTGTTAAATAAATACATCGCGAATAGACGCTATCAAAGACATATAGACAATTGTGCCTTGTTTAAGGATACACCCGAGAAGCCCTAAAATGTTCTGTGACTGGCATAAACTTGACATATTATCGCGGGACCGGGCTCACTTGCCACACATGATATAGGTATCCGCTTGGGAAATTCCCCTTTGCTTTCTTCCGTGGTGCTTTGAATCGTTACTGAAAAGCGGACACTCTCGGTTTTTAAGAGTGAAATAAGTGATTCATCAATTCTAGAGTTCTTCACAGTGATATTAAAAACTATGGTTTAAAAATGTTTTAAGCTCAAAATCATGAAATGGCTCCAATATGTTCTTACGAATATATTGAATGATACCTACCTCTATGTTCATATTTCGTCTGAAGAGTGCGCTTTCTTCTAAAGAGTGGTTATAAGGTTGGCGCCACCAAAATTCTATATATAATAAATAATAAATAGATGAGTTAGCTAGTAACTTAGTTCTTGAATTGATTTAATGTGCTTGACCAGTAATTATACAGCAGCTTTGCCTTGTTCCTTTGGTGTGAAATATATGCTGTTGTCTTTAGAGTTGCCAAATTTAAGTGTGAACTTGTTTTAAGCAGTCAAGATTTTAAGTTGGCGAGTAACATTGCGAGGGTGGAAAATTGTCTTTATTATGTTACCACTTCTGTAATATTACTAATTTGTTTGTTGATTTGACTGTTTTCGTTTTTACTTCTGATAAACTCATTTTCATGTCTCTTTTATTTATTTCTAATACAGAACAATTATAATGTTATTATACTTTTAGAGAGGTCAGTGTACGTGACTTGAAAATGCTGCAAATGTTGCCCTTAAACTCTTGAGAGCAAATATTTTCCAGCAGTATCAGGACAGTGCCCTCATACACACAGAAAGCATCATGATGTATGTGTCAAGCCATTAATTTTTTAACTCTTTCAGTCTGCCAGTAAAATGAATAAAATGTTTCAAGTCTTCCATCTGGCCGTTGCTCTCCTTTTTTAAATGATTTCTTTTTTTCTTCTTCTGAAATCTTTTCTAGGCCGATTCTGTATTCAACCTACGTCGCCCGTACGACTTGGTTGCATTCGTGAACCAGGAGGACAGAGCATCGATGCTCAATGGTTTGAAGAAAGAGCTATTGAACAGAAAGGATGAAATCGACAAAAATGAGGATCGAGATACAGGTAAAGGGTATCCAGAAAAATTTTGTTTTCAATTTGAATGTGTGTGATGTGTGCTTGTGTGTGTGTGTGTGTGTGTGTGTGTGTGTGTGTGTGTGTGTGTGTGTGTGTGTGAGAGAGAGAGAGAGAGATAGAGAAAGAGGGAGAGAGAGAGAGAGAGAGAGAGTGTTTGAAGTTGTTTGGTAGCTTTTAGTTGCTGAAATTCAAGTCAATATACGTACTAAGATTTATGTTTTAAGAGACTTCAGCATTCCCCAAATTTGTTTTAATTTTGTATGTTATTCCTCCTGCTCCTGTTTTCACTCCGTAGGTAAAAAGTATTCCCCAAATTTTGACTGTGGGATTAAAGTTTAAGCAATATGCTCAGGTTTCAGGCTGTGTTAATCCTTTTTTCTTTTTTTTTTCTCTTCTTAAAGTTTTAAACAGTATTTATTTCTACCACTGGTAGCGTCTTGTTGATTAGAAAATATTGATGAATTCTTCATGGTCACTTTGATTGTCCTCTAGGATTGGAGCAAAAATTTTACAAGACTAATCCAGATTGCATTGAGGCTGGAAAGCCGCTACCAGAGTTTGATCTGTACATCAGTACAGTTCTGCCTTTGGAAAACAAAGGGATCAGGTGGGTTCTTTCATGTGAGGCTTTTATCAAAGTTAATTTTCACCCGATACAAATCAATGTGTGAGTCCATATCTTTACTTCAGTTATTTTAGGTACTTCAGTTCATTTTATGCAGTTTAAGAGCTAATGTTTTGTGATTTGGGGGGGGGGGGGCAATCGATATACAGAATTTAATTTCTTGAAAAGAAATGAAAACCTTTTTTTTAAACCTCAGTGTTTGTTACTTTGCTTCTGATTCCAAAAATATGTTCCACAATGTCAACTTTTTACCCTTCAGAGATTGCATGCACAATGAAATGTATTGTGTCATTGTTGTCTCAAGAAAAATTAATAGCTCCAATTGGCCTTGCTTTATGGAATGAGTTAAAAAAACAATACAAATTGGGATTGATTTAGTTTTCTAATCGCAGTAACAAAATGCTGCTTTCTTTTCAGAAGTTTTAAAAAACTTTTGAGCATTTAAAGAAAAACGTCTTTGATGCTTTCAAAAGCATTGTTTTGAATCATAATTCTTTTCCATTTCTAGACCCGAGGAACACATCGACATCAATGGGTCGCCAAACCCACACCCAAAAGCTCCAGACTGCACAGCATTCATGGATCTGGAGTTCAGCATGCATGCTTTTGAGCACCTAGAGGTTTGTTCTTTGGAAGTTTCATGATTTGAAAGTGTTCAAAATGCGAAATCATACGATGGGAGTGCTCAACTCATTTTGACTGTTTATAGTGTAAGACTCCTTCATATGTCACTGTTAGAAATGGTGTATATGGCGGAGCCTTACGCTGAGCTGTCGATTTGGGCAGTGACAGGGATCTGCACATGGTACCGAAAGAGCTAGTTGAAGTCTTCTCAGTCTTATTTGTGTGGCATCGATGGCCGAGTGGTTACGGGTTCGGGGGTTTGAGCTGTGGGCCCAACGTTGTTTCCTTTGGAAAGGCACTTTGCACAAATTTTCCTCACTTCACCCAAATGCTCTCAGGTCTGCTAAGGTAATAGTAGTATAGATTGTGAAGCGCATAGAGCTTGCTGTTGAGCGGGGATTTGGGCTATACAAATGCTATCTATTATTATTATTATTTATACCAGACTGATTTCTTTCAATGGAAGCTGTGTTGTCTAGTATCAGGCTGTGGAACTGTTCTTACCTGACAGTTGAAAATGACCTGTGGTTTACTCGCACTGTCTGTGGTGTGTTTAAAAGCAAAGGATGATTTTTGGCGTACTGTTGACACTTTAAATCACCCAGCTCCGCTGACATAATTAATCAAAGGTTGGGAAGCAAAAATAGTTCAAAGTTTCACTCACAATTCCCATTACTACCTGAGCCCAAGAGGCAAACTGTGACTCGACTGTCTTGTTTGACCTCGAGCGTTTGCGTTGAATGTGGCTTTGATAGTGCATTATATAATTTTTTTTCATGAAGTTTTCTCAATTCTAATGTAGTTTTTCTATTGTGTTTGTACTTACAAACCTTTCTCTCGTTATGCATTTACTGACTTCTGTGGTATAGCAGTTAGGTGTCTCAGTGTCGCTAGTAAGAGACTTGAGTGGGGAGGATTTTTATTGAGTATCTTTGTCTTTCTGCTGGGGATGTTGTAGCCCTCTCAGTCCGGGTTGGCCCTGGCAGGTAGAGTTGGAAGCCTGCCTCATAAATAATCTAAATAGTTAAAACACCTACATTAACAAATTAAAAAAAAATTTTTTTTTATTAAGTACATGTGTTTGCGGATGCTTACAGGGTATGAAGGCAAGACATAATCTGTCGGGCACTCCAGAGCTGGGACTGAAGAATGCCATCACTCACCGAGAAAATGTGGATGATTATGGTCACTTGGTCTTCGAAGCTCTGAACAAGGTGAGACCTAAGTGTGTGTGCATTGAATGAGTCATGGTTTATTTCAGTTAAATTTCAAATCTTTTGATCCGTTCAAATGTCAGCTGAAGTCGTTTCTGTTTTTAAATTAATAAGATGAATGTTTGGAGTAATTTTCTTTAGTCAGAACACTAACATTTTATGTTACTGTTGTACGTTGTACTGTATTGTAAAGCGCTCAGAACCTGTGTACTTTAATCGGGGGTTGAGCGCTATATAAATGTAATTTATTATTATTATTATTAAATTTAGACTTATTATACACACCAAACTAAGCTGGACAGAAAAATCTTTTCGATATGTACAAATTTCACAATGTACATGTTTTAAATACAGAGAATATAATGTATAAGAAACATTCGGGACCTGAATATCTCTTCGCCATGTGAGTGTTCCACTATGTGCGTGTTGGCTATGTGCGGGCTAGACTGTAGTTTCAAACGAATTTCAGTCCCATGAGGTTGGTGGCGTGTTGCATTCAGCCAGGTAGTACTTTCAGCTATCATTTCGACTGCTTAGCGTAAGACGCCGCCATACGTCATTTTGAAAAGTGACGTATGACAGAGTCTTATACTGAGCAGTTGATGTGTTTTATGTATTCCTAATGTTTTTTTGTTTTTTTATTTTCTAAATTCCAACTCTTCCCAAGAATGAGAGCGGTTGGATGGAGCCTCTAGTATGGGTCCTTTTTTTCTTTCATATTATTTCATTATTCTTGCCTGTTTCACATTTTGCTAAGACTTGGTATAAGAGTCATTGTTTTTATATGCCCCCCCCCCCCCCCCCCCCGATCCTCTCTCTCTCTCTCTCTCTCTCTCTCTCTCTCTCTCTCTCTCTCTCACACACATGTACATACACGCTTACACACCTCTATCCCTTTTTTCTGTCCCCCCCCCCTCCCCCCACTCTCTTATGCCCCTCCTTCTATATGATCTGCATTGTATTGATGTGGAGGTAAAACATTGAACGTTGTGGGTGGTTGGCAGGTGTTCTGGTGTGGATTGCTTCTTCTATCTTATCAAACATCTCTCATTGCTATCTCTCTCCATCCTTCTTTTTTTGTTGTTGTCTTTGTTACTTTCTGGTAACACCTCTAATCTTCAGCACTTGTATGACCTAATTGTGTTGTAAGTGCCGTAAAACTCTTTGAAAAACAAACAGTCGTTTAGGTATAGTTATTTATTTTCTTCTCATATTCTTCCCTACACAAACCATTCCCCAGAACAAGACTTCCTGGATCTTGTACAACATGGCTGCCTTCTACTGGAGAATCAAGGGCAATCCGTACCAGGCAGTCGAATGTATCCGGAGGGCCTTACATCATTCACCGAGGTAATTCACAGTTTTGCCAATGTTTATCAGGCTAGCCAACTGTCCCAAATTTCTTTATTATTATGTAGACCTTGTAATGTAGAGAGTGGGTGAAGAATTGTTTTAATTCTAATGTTGCCATGGGTTGTTTTTTTGCGTTTTGGGTTGTTTTTTTTATGAATCTATTTTTCTATGAAGTAGTTTGTATTTTTGGCTTTTCTACTCGTTGAACTTTGTTCATGAAAATTGTGTCCGTCAGAGGGCTTTGTTTCAAGCATTTTTGTGGTCAGAAATCATTGAAGTCCTATTGAAATGGGGATGAAGCCCAATCAGTGAAAAAAAGATAATTTGACAGATAAACTTAAACCTTAAACGACACAGAATGGTCATCTGTGGTGTAGCGGTAAGGCGCTTCACTGTGGCACACAGTGGACCCAAGTTTGATCCCCAATTGGAGAGATGATTTTATCGTGTATCTCGGTCTTTGTGCTGGGAAGTTGGTCCTGACAGTCAGGGTTGGAAGCCGGCCTCCTAGATAATCAAAATTGTGTCAGTGGGGGTTTAAAAACATCCACGTTTAACCCTTTGCCGCCTCATCTCGCCGATTGGCGATATTTACCACCCTGTCTCTTCGGATTTCCCCCAAATATGATGGCAAAGTGTTAAAGAAAAAAATGGCCCAAAGATGTTTCACTCGTGCTAACCTTTTGACGTCCCTCCCAACAGTCGGCTTCAAAAAGATGTTGCACTGATAAGCCTGGCGAATATCCTCCATCGGGCCAAGTTCTCGAACGAAGCGGCAATTCTGGTGCACGCTGCCCTGGAGGTGTCCAAGGAACTGAATGTGAACCACTTCACCTTAGGAAACATTTATGCCGTAAGTCTTCTTCATTTGTCTTTGTCAGTGGGTGGTTGGTTGGTGTGTGTTGCTCTGGTGTGGCTTGCTCTTTTTTTCTTAGCAAACATCTGTCGTCCTTATCTTTCCTCGTGGGTGGTTGGCAGGTACTCTGGTGTGGTTTGCTCTTTTTTTCCTAGCAAACATCTGTTGTCCGTATCTTTCCTCGTGGGTGGTTGGCAGGTGCTCTGGTGTGGCTTGCTCCTTCTTTCCTATCATACATCTATTATTATTATTATCATTATTACTATCATCATTGTCATCATCATTATTATTATTATTATTATTATCATCATCATTATTACTGTCGTCATGATCATCATTATTATTATTATTTTTACCATTATTATTATTATTATTATCATTATTCTGGTTCAACTTTTGTGCTACTGTCCTGCTGTCCAGGTGCTGGGGGAGTACAACAAGTCCATCATATGCTTTGAGAACACGCTGAAGATCCAGCCCGACTTTGAGGCGGCGGCCAAGCGGCGACACGCCGTTCTGTGCCACTCCAAACTGGAGATGGCGCTCGAGGCTCAGCACAGGTGGGGAGGGGGGGATTTTGTTTTGGTGATTAGTTTTGGTTGGTTGGTTGTTTTTCGTGGGTGGTGATTAGAGGCTGCATGACTCCAAACTGGGGGTGGCTCTAGAGGATTAGTACAGGTGAGGTGCTTTTGTTTTGGTGATAAGTTTTGGTTGGTTGGTTGGTTGAATGGTTGGTTGTTTTTTATCGGTGGTGATTAGAGGCTGCATAACTTTGAGACTGGAGATGGCTCAATACTATTGGGTGATTTTTGTTTTGGTTGTTTTTTTGTTTGTTTGTTTGTTTGTTTGGTTGGTTGGTCGGTTGTTTTTCCTGGGTAGTGATTAGAGGCTGCATAACTCCAAACTGGAGATGGTTCTAAAGGCTCAAGAAAGGTGGGTTCATTTTCTTTTGGTGATAAGTTTTGGTTGGTTGAATGGTTGGTTGTTTTTTATCAGTGGTGATTAGAGGCTGCATAACTCCAAACTATAGATAGTTCTAGAGGCTCAGTACAGATGGGTGCTTTTGTTCCGGTGCTGTGATGGTGTGAATGTCTGCTTAAGTGTTAACTTTGATCTAGAGAAAAGCATGGCTGTCCTCGTGCTTCCAGTAAACAACTGTCTGCAGCAACACACAACAGACACACATGCTCACTACTGGTATGCACACATGCACCTGCTTATGTACACATATTTATATTATATATTTACACACATCCAACAATACTCAATGAAAGTTGAAATAGGGCGTCACATATTCTGTCAAAATGAGCATTACGTTGCTGAGAATGAATAAAACATTTTTTTTCAAATGGTTAAGTCATGGTGTAGGTCTTCATAAACACTTTTGTGTTGGATCATCATTGAAAATCTTGTGCAAGTCACAACTTTTAGCGTGAGTAAGTTGGCATCAGCAGAGTAATTTGATCTATTCAGCGACGTATGCTTCATTTTGATGGATCATATGGCATATACACCAGATACACCAGAACATAGTTTTACTAGGGGAAAGATAAAATGTATTTTTAACCCTTCCAGCCCAAGCCATTTTTGTGCACTCCCTAACCCCAGTCCCAGCCAATACAGCAGTATTTCAGAAAAAGAGGCATTCATTCTAAAAATTGATGTAGTATCTTTGTAATGAGGTTTAGATAATAACATATATAACAATGTTTAAAAGTAAATGAACGACTATTATGAACGTTAAAGTTTAATTAGGTTCGCTAGTTTCCAAAAAATGCTCAAATTCTATACCCCCCGAAACTGAGAATATGCGCTCTTGGGATGATGGGAGAATATATGCGCATGGAGCTGGAAGGGTTAAAAAAAGAAACCAATGCTCTTTCTCCTAACTGACAGGTCTCTCCAGAGAACGTTGAAAGATCTGAAAGATTACCAGAGGAAGCATGACTTATACCAGTCGCAGAGCGACAAACTGTTGGCGGAGCAGGTTCCTCACGAGGTCAAAGTTGCCCAACACCACGCATACGAACAGCTCAAGGTTCGGGACAGATCCACGGAGATGGGTATGATGACTCCTCTGAGAGGGATTGAGTACGGCTTTCTGAGGGTGCCTCTCACAATTTATTTTTAAAAAGTGTCATTTGAGGGTACAGAATAATTGTTCGCCGGAATCAGAAAATTTGAACCAGTTCAGCAATTAAAAAAAAATATCTTTATTAGAAGATGTGCTGATTTAAAAAAAATTGTGCTTGCCAAAAAGTTTGGAGACCTTTGGTAAAATGCGTAATTGAATAGCTGACAATTTAGCAGCTCCCCAGAAAAAAACCCTGCCTGTATGAGGTAAACAGCAAATGTGATAAGGATATTCCAGAATGCTTTCTTTGAATGAACTTTTGAGATTGTGAGAGGCCTTTGCAATAATCGGTAACGAATTATAAGTTTCTTTTTTTTTTCCTGTGGGGTCTAGAAACGTTACAACAGCTTCAACTGTGATCCCCTCATGCTTTCTTTAGCTTTGGAGGGTTTTGTTTTCCTCTTTGTTTTCCTTTTGCTTTGGCAACTGTGGGTACCTGAGGTGGTGGCTAACTTTTTTGATGTGTGTGGTTTTTTTTCTTGGTGGATGTGGAAAGGATGAAAAAAACAACTAAAAACCCAAACTGGTGGATATTATGCTGTTGTGCTCTCAGCCTCTTTGACAGACTGATTTCCGCCCCCCCAGCTTAAAGTGATTTTTGACATTTGCTGGAGATACAATACAGTCATCGAAGCGTTTCATGCCAGTTTATGGTATTCTTCCTGTGCTGTTGAAGCAAAACTTTTTATTTAATTACGCTTTTTATTTGTCCTCATAGGAAAAGTTGGGTGGCAGTGGCATGTGTTTTAAAATGCTAGCGGAAAATAAATCACAAGGTAAAATCCAACAGATAATGCGTACATATATATCGCAGCACTTACTACAACTACAAAGAATTTAGCAAAAGTACCGGTGGAGGTTGTGGCACACCTCTTGTCTTTCTTCAGAACACAGCCCACAGTCCAAATGTTTTATAAGGCTTGGTTTGACGCGCTGTGTGTTTATGAATTTGATTGGGGGGTTTTTTTTCAGAACATTCTGTCAAAGAGGTTAAGAGCTGTTTTATTTCTGTACATTCATTTCTGCTTGATTTTCGTTTTTGTTTTCGAGATTTTGCTTTTTCTTAACCCCTCGAGACATATTCGTTAACAAGGATTATGGAAAGTCAACATTAACAATCTCTCCAGGCAATGTTTGAACCAAATTTCCCCAGGCTAGAGATACATTTTCACCTACTCCCCAAAACATTGTTATCTGAAACAAATAGGGTGTGAATTTCTGTGGGACAGCAAAAATAGAGCTGTAACTAAGACTGTGACTGCAGAGCATAGCTGAAGAGGAAAAAGTAAAAAAATTTGAGAAGGGCGCTGTGGGATAGTGCTTCGCTGCCAGGCTATGGCTGAAACTGTTGAGTTTCACCATTTTTCAAATGAATACTGCTGGGTTGAGATTGTTAATGTTATATCTTTTTGGGATGAAAGTTAACACATTTTTTTCTGAAGAACCCTGTAGAATGCCGAGTGTTTGTGGGTGGTTGGCGAGTGCTCTGGTGTGGTTTGCTTCTTCTTTCCTATCACACATCTATCGTCCTTATCTCCCCTTCTTCTTTTTTATGTTTGTTACTCTCTTGTAACACCTCTAGTCTTCTGGCGCTCGTATGACCTTATGCGGTTGCGAGCGCCGTAAAACCTCTACTAAAACAAAAAGCCGAGTGTTTCGTCTTTTGGGGGGCGTAGCTGAAGAAGTGAGTGGCACAATTTTCAGATGAGTACTGTAGGATGGTGGACCGGGACGGGAAGCAAGTCCTGCTGTGTACCTGGAGTCGCAAGTCGCCGACCTTGGACTTCGACTTTGCCTTTTTGGAAGACGCCCCGGACAAGGGCAAGGAGGAGGTGAGTGGGTGGTTGGCGGGTGCTCTGGTGTGGTTTGCTCCTTCTTTCCTATCAAACCTCTACCGTCTTTATCTCCCCTCCTTCTTTTTTATGTTTGTTATTCCCTTGTAACACCTCTAATCTTCTGGCGCTTGTATGACCGTATGCAGCTGTGAGCGCCGTAAAACCTGTACTAAAACTAAAACTAAAACTAAAAGGAGGCGAGTTCTCTCTGGGTTTATTTTACTCTGTTTAAACTGTCTTAACTCTTTCACTACTGGGGGAGGGGTTCCTCACCTGGAGTGGGGCCTATCTGTGACTTACTTTCTGATTCTGCCTATCGTCGGACAAATTAAAGATTTTAAGTTCATAGTCACAATGATTATATGTGAAAATAAAGGGGAAGTAATGACCTATCTCAACATGTTGATAAAGACGGATCATTCTTTAGCCTGAGATTTCAGATTGGGTTATTACAAAAGTAGGTGTGATTTAGAAGCAGGAAGTGGCGATCGGTGTTTCGCGGTCCAGTGTTGGAAGGAACACGAGCAGTGAAACATGGTAGTGAAAGAGTTAAGACGGCCGCCCATTGTCGAGGAGAAATGTGGCCGTCTTGCACAATGCCATTATAATGTTAGAAAAAAAAAAGGCACAGGAGGAAATAGGAAGGGGCCATTTGTTTCTGGTGATTGTCTTAGGCAGGTGGTCGTAAGAGCAGGTTCAGCTTTGTTTATGAGGCTACCTGCAAGAATTGAACATTTTGGCAAACTTTTTTTTAGCTACCATCTAATTTACTGTGACTCTCCTGAGTTTTCTGCAAGTTCCAAGATATCTGTTCTTGAACCAAAGAAAATAAAGGGGGGTGTCAGAAATAAACCAACATAAAGCATTAGAGTAGAGACTTTATTTCTTTACTGATGGCTCAGCTGGATTCATGTTGATCCACAATGTGGACAAATCTTATTTTGAATGTCCATTGGGGGGAATTCTTGAATGTAGTTTGGGAGTTTAAAAAAAACCTCTCCGCCCTCTTGACTCGGTCCTATTGGAGGTTGATACTAAATTTGGAGATCCCGTTGCTTACATGGCCTTACATTCTTAAAGGGGGATGCCATACAGTATGGGCTATTGTTACAGATTGTAGGTATTCTAGTACCCCAGTGCACACTGCCAATCAGATTTATCTGTTCTATTTTTGGGCCAGCCTGGCTTTTCTTCACGGATGAGGCGAAAGCTGCCTTTTTGGCACGATATGAATGAATTCTTGGTCAAGAGCCCAATTGAATCTGTTGTATTACACTAAAATAGTAGTTGTTGGGTTTTTTTCGCACCGTCATGAAGGAAAATCTGGTGGGCCCTGATTCAGTCTGATGAATCAAATTTTTGGCAGTGTGCATTTTGTATGAGGTGTTGTAATTACATGAGAACAATTGACTCTCTGTCTTAAGTGAGTTTGTTTTAATCCTCTTTGCCAGAGTAACCCAGAGAAGTTGAATGATTCTAAAGCAGATCCCAAGAGTCCTGACTATAGTCAGCCTGTGAGAGCTCCTCTTTATTCCAAGTACAGAAAGCACAAGGTAAGACAGTTCATTTTTTAAATTTAGAAGTGGCAGTCCACACTGAAATTGCTTATTAAACTATATTGGCAATTTTGAGCCTTAAATACATTATGAATTTTATTAAATTTAGACTGAATGTAGTTTCATAATAATAGATAGCATTTGTATAGCACAAATTCCCGCTCAACAGCAGGCTCTATGGGCTTCAGAATCTATACTATTACCCCAGCAGACCATAGAGCATTCTGAAACAGCCTCAACTTCCTGAGAAGCATATAGTGCAAGCAGCCATTTATAAGCGCTAATACACTAACATACTGACAAGATCTTTCACTGTCTATGGCCGGGTACCCATTCCCACCTGGGTGAAGTTAGAAAAATAAGTGTAAAGTGCCTTTCCCAAGGACACAATGTCAGGCCGGCGGCTCGAACCTCCGAACCCGCAACCTCACGATTACGAGTCCAGTAGCTTAACCAATAGGCCACCGACGCCACAGAGTTTTTATACAGAGAAGTGATCTTAGAAATTTAATTTGCACATTATTTAGCTGTCTTCTAAAACGGTTAGGTACTTTAAGGAGGAAGAAATTCTTACCTTTTTCACAGAATAAAAAAAAGTTTCAGTATTTTCATTTTTCCATGCCCGAATGTTGAAATATTTTCAGAGCAAATCAAATCAGATAAAGGATCCTAGAGCAAACCATTGTCACAATCTTTTTGGTCATTTTTAAATAAGTGTAGCTTGCTTCTTTTTTGTTATCAAACATCTGTCTTCTTCATCTCCCCTCCTTTTGATTGTATGTCACGCTCTAGTAACTCCTCTAATCTTCCGCACTTGTACTGCTTTAATGTGTTGCGAGTGCTGTAAAACTCTTACTAAAACTAAAAAGTTGAGTAGCTAATGTAACAGAAATGAATTTTTTTCCCCCTCTAGCCCACAGAGCACGATGTGTACACTCAGTCACAGTGGCCCAAGAAGGACGAGTGTGACTCGATGGTAAAAAAAGTTCCCGATCCTCGAAATCTGACGACAATATACCTGTCACCAGAGAACAAAGGATTTGAGTAAGTGGAACGATTTTGGGAAGAAAAAAAAGAATCTCTCTTATACCCCAGTGTCTTGCTGTTGGTGTTAATTCTTTGGTGCCCTAGCCAAACTTGTCAAAGTTGGTGGTTGACGGGTGCTCTGGTGTGGTTTGCTTCTTCTTTCTTATGAAACATCTATCGTCCTTATCTCCCCTCCTTCTTTTTTTTGTTTGTTACTCTCGTGTAACACCTCTAGTCTTCGGTACTTATACGACCTTATTGTGTTTCCAAGTGCCGCAAAACACTTGCTAAAACTAAAACTAAAAAATTGTCAAAGATGATGATGATTAAACGTGCTGAAGTGGGCGGCTGACGGGTGCTCTAGTGTTGTTTTGCTTTATCTTTCCTATCAGACATCTATGGTGCTTATCTCCCCTCCTACTTTTTTGTATGTTTGTTACTCTCTTGTAACACCTCTAATCTTCGGCACTGATATGACCTTACTGTGTTGCAAGTGCCGCAAAACTCTAATTAAAAACTGAAATATGCTGAAAGGAGTGGTGTTGTTTAGCAAAAGTGTCATCTGTCAATTGACTGGCTTTCAGATTTTAAATTTTATTTTGATTGCTGGAGACTCCTATATAGTTTCTATCTTGTCGGTATAGGGGAAAAGTAAAATTGTACCTCTATCCCTTTGTTGGTTTTTTGTAGTAGGGGATGGAATTGTTGCTGTTTATTCATGGTGTTTTATGTTATGAAGCAAGAGAAAAAGTGTTGAATAAATTTTCTTTTCTCTAATACAGTGCAGCGTTTCACAGTGGAAAAATTGTTTGTTAAGTCTTTGTTTGTGTCTTCTTTTTATTTTTAAAAATCTGTATTGTGGAGTGAAGTAACTGTTTACTAAGATTTGCTTACAAAGTTCTTACATTTTTTATTGTGTCAGATATAAAACGATCGCTGTGTACATGTTGCTTTACACAGCAAAACCAGAGTGCTTGTTCGCAAATAGTTGTACGGAGTGAAATGATTATGGTTGACATTTTTGAGCACCAAAATAAAACAATTACTGTTCTTTTGTCCGAACTGTTTGTGTAAACATGGTTGTATTTGTTATGCGTTGAGAAAAACAAAACAGGAAAAGGGAAATGGTTTCATATTTGATGATGATGATGATGGCCTATGGCCTACCTTAAAAAACTGCATCTCACCTCGACGCTTAATGGCAACATAGGATGAAAAAGTAAAAGTAAGTAAGATGATGATGTACTGAAGTGTTCAAGAACTCTTGTTCATGTTTTTTTTTTTTTTTGTTTCTTTTTTTTTCTTCCAGAGTGAAAGAATTGTTAACTCAGGCCCAGGGTCTAGATCCTGCCGGCCAGCATCCGTTGCCGTGGTACCCGCCCGTGTGTGTGCCCCTGATGGAGCTGGCGGAGGGGAACCCCGCCGTGTACGACCACCTCAAGTCGGTCAGTTATGCAGAGAGGTCGCGCATACCCCTCAAGTATAACGACCCCTCTATGAGAAAGGTGAGCTTTGATCTTACGCAGCTGCCGACTTTTGCCGCAGAAATACTTTTTATAGCTTAAATTTATTGAATGCTGAAATAATGTGTGATCGGTATGGAAGAGGGTTATTTGGCCAACTCGGACCATTTTCACCGGCCACTTGGGTAGAGTTGTTTTTTGTTTGTCAGAACAGACAAAATAAAAATGTGTTTTTTTTAAAGAGATGTAAATACAAAGCCATATCTTTCCTCTTTTTACGAATGAGCAACTTCACAGACTAACTGTGTTCACTAAAACTTCCTATTCATGTGAATCAGTAGAGAAAATTTGTTTTAAGGAAACCATTTCTGGAGAACGCAAACGACTACATATGCCTTTGTAGCAGGGAAGGGGTTATTGCTTTGTCATCAACACAGTTTAGATCATTTTGGAGGAGTTCATGCAAACCTGCCCGTCAGGGCCAGCCCTGGTTGAGAAGGATTAACAATCCCAGAAGAAAGACAAAGATACTGGATAGAGATTTTCTCCCCACTCAGGAATCAAACTGGGGTCTCCTGCGTGCAATAGCTAGGTGCCTAACGGCTACACCACAACGCCGGTAAAAAGGGAATAATGTTATGACCTCTTGTCTCTACTTTTGCAGGTATTGCTCAGCCATGTGAATGATGGACTTGTAACAGAGGAAGAGGTTGGACAGAGGATCCTCACAGCCCTAAAAAAGGTAATTGTTGGATTTGTCACAAAGTTGTGTCGAAGGAGAGTACAATAAGTGCCTGTTTCCCCATCTAGTAAAAGAATCGGCGAGTGATTGGCGGGTGCTCTGGTGTGGTTTGCTCCTTCTTTCTTATCAAACATCCATTATCCTTGTCTCTCTTTCTTCTTTTGTTTGTATGTTACATTCTAGTTAGCACCTGGGAAGAAAGAGCTGAGGACAGGAAAAGATGGAGGAAAATGATAAAGGAAAGAACTATAATACTAGAGATCAGCCTCAGAAACAACCAGGCTGAAAAGCGCCATCGAGGAAAGGAAAACAACGAAAATATAGAGCTTCGATCCACATCACTGACATGCAAGCACTGCCACAGAGTCTGCGCTTCAAACATAGGAAAAATTAGCCATGAAATAAGCTTCATGAAGACAACCTTGAGGCGATCTTAGGCTAAATTGATCGTCTGCATAGACGAAAAGAGCCATACATACATTCTGGTAATATCCCTAATCTTCAGCACTTATATGACCTGATTGTATTGCAAGTGTGGTAAAACTCTTACTAAAACCAGAGAGCAGGAAAGGAGGAGAAAGGAGTAATTTTTTTAGTGTAGAACAATATTTCAGCACATTTTACTCCTTGACGGTGGATGGCCATCTCAGATAATTTCAATTATAGTGTAAGTTGTTACTATATTTCTCAACTGTATCATCTTCCGCTTTTAAGACTTATAGGCTTTTATTGTTCCCTCATTGTAATACAGCTTTGTGTTTGGTTGTGACTTGGTGCCCTATTCGCTTCTCTTTGTTTCAGAAAGACATTACTCAATCTGTTGGGGTTGCGTCAGTAGCCTAGTGGTTAGAGTACTTAATTCGTAATCATGAGATTGCGGGTTCGGGGGTTCAAGCCTCAACTTGGTCCCACGTTGTATCCTTGGGAAAGGCACTTTATACGAATCTCCCACTTGGCTGGGCCCTTGGCTGGGAGATGAATGTTTAATCTCGGAGGTCCCGCCTCTTAAATAACCTAGTAGTGTGTGGATGGGGGCTTTATACCTGCACTATTTCACCACTTTTTCATTCTGTCGGACTTTTTTCTTTTCCCCAGAATATCGGCCCCCAGTGGATACTGTACAACCTGGCGGGTCTGTACTGGCGCATCGTGGGCAACAACGACCACGGCATCGAGTGCATACGGAGGTCCATTTACCTCAGCCCGCCGCAGTACCGGGACATACCGCTGGTGAATCTGGCCAATATACTGTACCGCTACGGCCGCTACGACGACGCCATAGTTATCATGAGGGATGCGCTAGCTGTGAATGATGTAGAGGTAAAGTTATATGTCCCGATTTTTTAAAGCAAAATTATTATTTTTATTTAGGGTGCTTTTTTTCGCCCCCATCCGCACAGTTAAGATCTTTATGGGTTGGGGGTGGGGGGGAGCAGGTGCTTCTGACCCTGCCTGTCAAGGCCAGCTGAGAGAGATACAACATCCCAGCAGAAAGACTAAAATACTCGGTAGAAATTTTCTTCCCACTCGCGAATCGAACTGGGGTCTCCTGCATGCAACAACGGTGAAATGTTTGTTTTTTTTTAAATGGGGGTGGGGGGAGGATGTGCGCTATATAAATGCTATTAATTATAGTTGTTATTATGTCACCAAATATATCTCTTCACATTTTAACAAAATGTGTAGACTTCGGAGAGACCCGAAGGAAATATTTCAGATGCAAAAAATTGCAAGGTCTGTTTTCTATCGTTGATCCCAACAGAATTCTGGATTTTACAAAGGCCTATGGGAAGTTGTGAATAGAACTGTTCAAAATTTGTAACATTATTTAAAAAGTTGTTTTAAATTAATTTATTTATATCAAATTTTTAGCATTCTAGCATTTTAATAGAGGTGTTTACCAGAATCGGGCTGTGCAGTGTACTGTTGCGAACAGAACTTACCTTTTTTTCGCCCGCTAATATGACCTTATGCAGTTGAGATCGCCGTAAAATTTTTACTATAACAAAACAATATCTCTCCTCGTTCTGCCCCTCCAGCCTTCCTCGCACTTTTTCTTCGGCCACCTGCTGTGGGCCACCCGCAACTACACAGGGGCGGCCTTCCACTACGAGGAGGCCCTGGCGTATGACCCGCTCCACTCGAGCGCCCTGGACGCCCTGCGCGCCATGAAGTGCTACATCAAGTACCACCACGCAGCGCAGAGCGCGGCGCCCCCGCCGCAGGAGCCCTCGGCCGCCTCTGCCCAGAGCCAGGCGGGGAACTGTCAGCACAAGTCCACTGAGACGGAGAGCAGGGTCATCTGCAAGTCGGTGAGTTGCGGGGGCTTGTTCTGGTTCTAATGCCAAGTACTGCTTTATGATGAAGCAGGTTACTTTTTTTTTGTGTCTAAGAAAAGTGCCTCATAATGACAAAGCAGTTGACATTTTTTGGGTCGAAAACCAAGTACCGAATCACGACAAAGCAGACAATATTTTTTGGATCTAAGCCAAGTACCGCATAACGACAATGGAGGCAATATTTTTTGGGTCTCAGCCAAGTACCGTATTATCACAAAGCAGGTGACATTTTTTGGATCTAAGCCAAGTACTGCTTAATGACAAAGCAGGTGACATTTTTTTGGGTCTAAGCCAAGTGCCGCATAACGACAAAACAGGTGACTTTTTTGTAAGCCAACTACTGTATTATGACAAAGCAGGTGACATTTTTTGGATCTAAGCCAGGTACTGCATTATGACAAAGCAGGGGACTTTTTTTTTGGGTATCAGCCAAGTGCCGCATAACGACAAAACAGGTGACTTTTTTGGGTCCAAGTCAAGAGCCACATTACGACAAAGCAGGTGACATTTTTTGGGTATCAGCCAAGTTCCGCATAATGACAATGCAGGCAACCTTTTTTTGGGTCTCGGCCAAGTACTGAATTACGACAAAGCTAGAAACATTTTTGGGGTCTATGCCTGGTACGGCAATAGAACAAAACAGACGGCCAACTGTTATGTCAGAGAGTTGTGCACAAAGAAAAAAAGGGAAGCATGAAAAAATGAGTATGTTGTGTTTGCATGGAAGGTTTCTCTTTTTGTTTTCATTGCCCACAACTCCGCAACAGAACAGTTGGCCAACTTACGAGTTGTCACTTCGCTGCATTAGAATTACACAAAGTTCTATCTGCTCAGTACATAGTTTTGAGAAATTTGATGTAAAAAATGTTGAGTTTCGCTATATGTCAAGCTTTTTAAGTGCTATTTTTTAAATATCTTGATAATGACTCTGAACAATCTTACAATTTTGATAGAACAGATTGAGCATTTCATTTCTAATCTCGTGGTTTTATTAACTCAAAACGGCCAAAAATGTTAGATAAAACTTTGTGCTTCTGAGATAGCAAACTGTCCCGAATTTACTGGGACTGTCCCGGATTTGGCAGTCAGGGATTTTAGAGACTCCAAAATCAATCTCTTTTGATGTGATTTTTTATTTGTTTGTTGTTGCGTAATCTAATGTTTTAATGTTGGGTTAGTTCCCTGATTGGGTTTTGAAAAAGTTGTAAAGCCTGTAAGGGTTTCTGCTGGATGATGGTGTCCATTATGACTGGGTTTTAGTAGTTAAGTCCGAGTAGGTGTGACGGCAGCTTTTTGTTACTTGGCCAGGGGCTTTCACACAATGGACTACGGGTTAAATAGTCTGCCAAGTGGATATTCGTTGACCCTTAAAGCAGTTTTGGGAGTACTTCCGTTTTTTATTTTAAGATTGGTAGGAGAAAAAAATGTACAGAGCTGCCATAATTTTTTCTCTTTTTTAAAATTTTCTGTTAATAAGTCTGTTTTTTCTCTCAGTTTTTATCCATCAAAATGACCTACCTGTGTCTAGGTGTGATTTGCTCCTTCTTTCCTCTCAGGCATCTTTCATCCTTATCTCTTCTCCTTCTCCTTTTTTTGTTTTTGTTACTCTCTAGTAACACCTATAATAATCTTCAGCACCCATATGACTCAGTTGAGTTGCGAATGCTTTATATAATCGTACTAAAAGCAACAGCAACAAAAATAAGATGAACAACAAAAGGCTCCCTGTTGCGCAGAGTGTAGTAGAACTGGATAAGCTGCATTTTTTTCTTCTTTCTTTCTTTTTTTTTGCTGCTGTTTTGTTTTGTTTTTATTTTGCTTTTTTAAAAAAAAGAATAACAAGGATTTTCTTTTTTTTTCTTTTTTGTCTTTTCAGGAGAATAATAACGAGGAGAAATGTATTATTGAGACGCGCTCTCGCAACAGGGTGGCCGACTGCAATGGTCAGTGCACCCAGACGTGCACCATCACGCCGGTCAAGATGGACGGCTGCAGCGGGGACTTGAATCTAGAGAACGCTATCAGTACGGCACTTTCTTGGACTCCCATGTGTTCACGCATACGCACTCTCTTGAATGTGTCTAGCCGAGTGTATTGCTTAGTTATTTACGTACGCTAGTGCATGTGGACACACACTCACACACACACACACACTCACTCACACACATACACACACACACACACACACACACACACACACACACACACACACACCAGTATCCCACCTTTAACTTTTCCATACCTGTCCCCACAGTTTTATGCACCCAGCATAATTTAGCAAAATGTGGATCTTTTTTTGCATAGTTTCTGATTATTTTCCTTTCTCATTCTTTCTGAAAATTAACAGAATCGCATAATTTCACATTTTTTTGGGCTCAGTTTGCATAATTTCAGACTTTGTTTTGAATAAAACCGCGTGGACAGCCATACGGCAATCACCATTCGCGTCTTTTGCGTGAGATAGCGAAGACGAACCTAACCGCTACACCACATGTTCTGGCAATGTAAAAACAACAACGAGCACAGACTGAGAGAGACAGATAGATAGACAGAAGAAAAATAACAAAACCAAATTAATAATATTATGAACAAATCAACAACAAAATCAATATTCAACAACAAAATCACTACAGCATTAAAACAACTCAATAAATATATAAAAAACACCACAGCAGCAAAAACAATTTGATAACAAAAACGCTACAGCATTAAAACGATTCAACAAAAAAACAACAACCCCCCAACAAAACAACAACAATAGAAACAAATCAACAATAAAAACAAAACAAAAAACAAATCCAAAGAAAAACAAACCTACGACAAAAATAATTCAACTCTAGAAACTAGAAACAAATCAACAACAAAAGCAGGAGCTCAACTACCCCCCTAAAAAAAACCGACAGCCCAAACAAAAACAACAACAATAACAATAAAACAAAAATCTAACACAAAAACAAAAGACAGCAGCAACAACAAACAGAGGTAGCAACAAAAATAAATCAGCAACAGAAACAATACAGCAACAAAACCAATAAAACAACATGATCAAACAATACAGCAACATAATCAAACAATACAGTAACATAATCAAACAATACAGCAACATAATCAAACAATACAGCAACAAAACCAATAAAACAACATATTCAAACAATACAGCAACATAATCAAACAATACAGCAACAAAATCAATACAGCAACAAAACCAGTACAACAACATAATCAAACAATACCAAAACAATTCAAGAATAATCG